CTCTGCATTGCGTAAATTCCTGGATTGCTATTTACTATCTTGAATAGCAGTAGCGTAGGGGTAATCCAGGACCACCCTAGTGCTAGGTATTTTCACCTTTACCTGCTGATATTTAATGAATCTGTCAATCTTCAAAGCAATGTCCAACCACCCAGCATTCAATGCCAACTCTGGTATTGTAATTCCAGACCTTCCCCCTGTATATAATGTTATGATGTTTATGAACCTCCCATGTATATTATGCTTTCTTGTACAGTAGTGCTCCGACTCATGCTCAACCATTCCCTATCTTCTTTTCTCCTTGTTCTCCTCGGATGCTTCTCTTAAGCATTGGCAGATCCATTCCATCACCTTCCTACTCATAGAAGATCTGTGCATCATCTTTTTCTTTTTTTTTTACACTAGTAATATTTGTATTTCAGTCAGTACTTAGGTAGTACTGAAAACCATATTTACAAAAAAGAAGAAAAAAATTATAGTCTTTCCAATGCTAAACCAGGAACTAGATGGACCCTAAAACGTCTATGATTGATTCAGTGTCATTGGAGTAGACATTTGTACACCAAAAACAGAACAACAAAATACATTTAAGCTGGACTTCCTGCAGGTTGTTGTCCCTATTTTCAAAACATCTATCATTTCTCTCTCTCCATATAGTCCACCATACACAAGCAGGGATCATCCTCCATCTTTCTCTGTTTGTAGCCCCAACTCCAGCCTCCTCCCAACTGAAAAGAGTTTCATCAATCTTACTAGGCATACTCCAGGAAATGCCTCTGAGATTAAGGAAATCTGCCACAGTTGATCAGTGAAATTGCAGTGTAGAAAGAGGTGTTTTACTGTCACTGTATCCTTACCACATAAGGAGCATCTGTTGCATAGAGATATACCTCTCTTGGCCACATTGTCCAATGTCAGAACTGCTTCATTGGCTAGCAGCCAGGTGAAGCATGGCACTTTTTGTGGCACTTTGACTCTCCGGATTTGCTTCCAAGGCCATTTGAAGTCTTGATTCTCCCTAAGACTTGTTTGTTTATATCCTTCCTTCACCCTGTATCTTCCTTTGTTATGACCATGCCACCATAAATAATCTTCACCTGTTTAGATTCCTTGGAAACTCTCCAGTAGTTTGAAAAGTTCAATCATTCTGGGAATTTCCCAGTCATTCAAGTTTCTTCTAAAGATCATATTCCATCCTTGTGGTGACCACATTTCAGCAACAGTCTTCTCTTGGTATTGAGCCAAAACAAAGATATCAGGAAAGAGATCTTTAAGGCTCACAGTACCCATCCATTTATCAATCCAAAAACTTGTTTTTCTGCCATTTCGAACTTTGACAGTTAATTGATTACTGAGAAACTGCCAGAATATTCTAATGGATTTCCAGAGGCTAATACCATAGGGGATGTTGACCTCTTTAGTTACCCATGTGTTCAGTTGCTCATACTTGCTCTTGATTACCCTGTACCAGAGGGCTTGGTCCTTCTGATGGTACCTCCATAGCCACTTGACCTTGAGTGCTTTGCTTTGATATTTAAGGTTCTTGATACCTAGTCCACCTTGATCTGTGCATCATCTTTCTGCTTCTCTCTACCCATTCGTACCATTCGACTTTGTCATCATCCCATCTGGTGATATCGAAAGACTTAAATCCTGCATTGAAATAGATTCGACTTTCCTCCATTCTATCGGAGAGTGGTTTATCAATAATCACAGTGGGTGATTATTGTTGGCTTGAAAGAAAAGGGTTGATTCTGGTGGGAGTAACCGGAAAAGATGGGCTTCTCTCTCCTAGGAAGTAGGAGAGAGAGGGTATCGGGAACTGTGTCTGGGAGCCTTTTAGTTGGTGAAAACCGAAGTATTTAGGGATTCGACGCTTATCATCTGCCAAACTCAAAAGAAATGAAAAACGGGCAAGTATTGAGTCTCAGATTTAGAAGAATTTTAGAATAATTGAGAGATGGAAAAGATGGCAGATTTCCTCCACATTCTATCTCAGTTAAATGGTTTTTCAGAAGAGATGGATAGATTAGTTTGACATTGTCACAGCAAAAGGGAAGTTTTCTTTAAAGTCTTCTTACAGAGATCTCACTAGCTCCAACAATCAAGTGGGTTGTTCGCTATGGAAAATGATCTGGTAGTGAAAATTCCTTACGATGTAGCTTGTTTCACATGGCTTTTTACTACAGAAAAGGTTCTGACAAATGAAATACTTCAGCAAGAGAGGAATGCAACTGTGCTCAGATGCTATCTTTGTAATGAACAAGTAGAGACAATTAACCACCTTTTTTTTTTTGCACTGTAAATGGACATATCGACTATGGAAAAATTTGATCAACTTGAGGAAAATTTAGTGGATGATTCCAAGAAGAATAAAGGAAGCGCTAAACTGTTGGAACAGTGATGGCAATGCAGCTAACAGGGAGGAGAGATAGTAGATCGTCTCAGCTTTATTTGGTGGTCAGTTTTGACAGAGAAATCAGAGATGTTTTGAGGAAACCATTGTGACACCCAGAAGATCATGATGAATTGCCTAGCCCTCTATTATTTTTGGTGTAAACAGAAATTGTTAATACAAACTGAAGATATTTTTGATGTTCACAATTTATAAGTATTTTAACAGATACAATCCTTTTGTAATCGGCCTACTTTTTTGGGGGACTGACAATTTTATGGTGTAGTATACCTGTTGATATTAACTTTTGCCTTTATGAAAAATATTACCAATTCAAAAATATCATCTGAATGATCATGATGCAATATGAAGAGCATATATTCAAAAGTCTTTTCCAACCTCGAAATCACAAGTTTCTTCAATGATGAGCTTTTGAGTAACTATTTGGTATTTTATAGAAAAAGAACATTTTTTAATATTTCCAGTGAGTTTATTATGGACACGTCTTAAAAAATGAGAACTCCGAGGAGAGGTGTAGTAGTACAATAACAACAAACAACAACATACCAGTGAAATTCCACAAGTAAGGTTTGAGGAGGGTAGAATGTATGCAAACCTTACCACTACCTCGTGGAGGTAGAGATACTATTTTTGAAAGACCCTCGGCTCAAGTGTAACAAATCCCGGTATAAAGGAGACAATGAAGATTGAGGAGAATTGGGCAAATAACAAGGAACTAATGTAAAAATCCACCAGAGAGGAGCCAAAACAACAGTTAAATCATGTGATAATCCAAACTCCATAAACAACATACTAGGGTAGATTATTAAGAAAACAATAATAAACAATGATAAAAATAAAAATAAAACAAAAGAAGTACAATAATATAACTAGTACCATTGCAAACACCAGCCACCCTATGCAAGACAACATTACACTACCTACTAATTTTCTACCCTAATACATACTCCACACCCTCCTATCTAGGGTCATATCCCCGGTAACCTGAAGTTGCATTATATCATGTCTTTCACCTCTCCCTAATACTTCTTCAGCCTACCTCTGCCTCTCCTCGTTCCCTCTATAACCAACCTTTTGTACCTCCTCATTGGTGCGTCTATGCATTTCCTCTTCACATGTCCAAACCATCTCAGCCTCGCTTATCTCATCTTATCCACCACGGAGGCCAATCCCACCTTATCCCGGATATCCTCATTTCTAATTTTATCACTCCTAGTATTAGGGGTGGGCGTTCGGTTCTTCGGTTCGGTTTTTCAGTTTTCTGTTTTAGAAAAGTGTGCACCATATACCAAACCAAACTAATTTGGTTCGGTTCGGTTTAGTTAGGTGTTTTTAAATTGGTTTTTCGGTTCGAATGAAAAATAAAATGAGGACAAAATCAAAGTATAAGATAATTAAAATTTAAAAGTATGTTAAGAAATGATGTGTCTCGCCATGGAACACTTATTGTGCTAACTAGAAGATTACTCATCTTTGTCAAGAACATTGTGCCGCCAACTACTTCTCCAGAAAAACAAGGACGAAGACGGGTTCCTTTACATAACGTACATTGATAAAAATATGTTTTGGTTCCTCTTGCGAACTAATATTTGAAGTTAAATATTGAATTATACATCCGTTGCTATTTTGATTTGTTCATGAATGATTTAATTGTTAGTTGACTTTTTATTTTTAGTTAAGAGAATGCCCATAAATAATATATAAATATTATTATTATTTTATATTTTTTTCAATAAAAGTTCGGTTCTTCGGTGCACTGAAGTTCTGAGACCCTTACACCGAACCGAAGAATTGAATTTTTGAAAAAATAACACCGACACCGAACCGAATCAGTTTGGTTAGGTTCGGTTCTATTTTTCGGTATTTATGCCCACCCCTACCTAGTATGGCCACACATCCACTGACCAAACATCCACCGCAACATTCTCATCTCTGCAACATGTATCTTTTGGACGTGAGAGTTCTTGACTAGCCAACATTCAGTCCCATACAAAAATGTTGGTCGAACCACCACGCTACAGTACTTACCTTTGAGTTCCAGCGGTACCCTTTTATCACACAAGACTCTAGAGGCAAGCCTTCACTTCATCCATGTCACACCGATACAATGTGTGATATCATCGTCGATGTCCTTGCTCCCTTGAAGTATAGATCCAAGATACTTGAATCTATCTCGCTTGGGGATATTTTGTGTGTCAAGCCTCACTTCCATGCTTACCTCATGCATCACATCATTGAATTTGCACTCCACCTATTCAGTCTTGGTCCGGCTCAACCTCAACCCTTTAGCCTCCAAAGTATGTCTCCACGCCTCTAACTTAACATTAACTCCAAAAGGTGTAGTAGTGTACTTGAATTTATTTTTCTAAAATATGTCATTGTTATATTAATTTATTCACTTCTTTAAATGTCGACAGTGCGTATGGAAAATCATGTGTACGTCACTGAAGATAATTCTAGGTTCTTGCAAGTTGTCTCATTTTACTGAGTAGTGCTAGATATTTGCAGTGTATGGTTAAGCTTACAAAAAATTATTGTAAAATTTCACAGCATGATATTTACATTATCTTTTAGCATTTTATAGAGAAATCTTTGGAGGTTGATCAACCTAAATATGGAGATTGCCGGAATATATTGCGTTCTGGTCCTGCATCATCTCTTCGTGTCAATATTCGAGCAGTAAGTTAAGGTTCTCCCATACCTCACTCTCAACTCTATGAATGACATTATCTAACGGTTGATAATTATCCGTTTCTGTACAGCTTTTTTCAAAATTAGGAATGTATGAAGCTGATTTACTTGGTTTAGACTTATGAATGTTCCATTCTGGTCTTGGAGCATGCTATACATCTTAAGGATGAGTGAAAACTAGGGATGTTCGATGATTTTAAACATTTTGAGACAATTTTTTATCTCGTAGGCAGTATAGGAGGAACTTGAAATGATTCGAAGAGAAAAAAGCAAGAATTTTTTCATTTATCTGCAAGTGCTCTGCTATGCCATATCTGCTGCACGGTGCTAATATGAACATTTGATATCATTTAAGCCAGCTACAGAAGTCCAAGCCAAATATTCAAATTAGAGAGTCAGTTAACAAAATACCATTGCAAGTAGCATTTTTGACAGGTTATCATCTGTCTATCAAATCAAGGGAAAAATATCCCGAATGCTCAAATTTTAGTTACCAAGAAAAGAAAAAATCTGGGTACATAAAAAAAGAAAAAGCTCCAAATTTTTAAATATATCTTGTTGCTTGGTTTGAAAATGGCATTGCACTGAAGTTATATATTCATTTTTCTTTTCATTTAGTTGTGTAATTTGTAATTTCTTTTTCTTAACTAGTCTATTGGTTGTTGTACAGAGAAATGCTTAGGCTTCTTCCAACTACAATTAGATGATCAACTCCTGAAAAAATTCACTTATCTTCTCATTCAATTTCAGGTAGCACAATACGCAGCTGATGGTGGCAATGGTAAATCAGCTTTCAGTGATGTTGATCAGTGTCTGAGGTACTACATCGTTTATTCAACTGTCAACCTGAACAATGCTGTTTAAATATAACGTAACGCAGTAACATTATAGCTTTGCAGTTAAGGATATATATTAAAATTTGCAGTAGCCTGCACAGGATGATCAGTCTACTGGGTAGATGTAAGAAAATTTTAGAATGTCCTTGGAACACTGATGATTTCTCTAGGTCTTCCTCTCAGAGAGAGTTTCATAATTGATTTTGTTCCTATAAGCTTCCTGACTTATTTTCTTGAGCAAGGTTGGCTGCAAAAGATCATGTCACGAATATGATATTCTTATTCTACACTGCCAGATGGAACACCTTCAAATTGATGACGAGAGGAGCATGCTTTTAGTATAAACATCAGTAAACAAAAGGGACCAATTTTAACCAAAATGCAAATTGGACCATCATTGCATGTCAACTTTGTATTTTTACTCGCGTGATGTTATTTGTGTTTTTATTCTTTCATGCAGTGCATTGGAAGGACTTGACTCGTTGCTTTTGCGTGCATCAAGAAAGGATCCAGGGGCCTCAATTGACTCAATGAAGGCACAAATTGTTACTGCCTTAAATGCATTGGACAGGTCATACTTCTATCTTTCTTGCCTTGGTGATAACCAATCAATCAATATCGTGTCATTCCCAAATCAATTGGGTTATGAATTCCCTATATCCTTTCTTCTCTATCCAAATAATAAATAATGTCTTTCAACATCGGTGATTCTTTAAATCTCAATTATCCCTGCATAGTTATCTAGTTTAATCTGAACGAGTTACGGCTTTTGCCTAGTAGTTAAATATGGATTATTTTTTCCCTTTTCTGTCTTCAGTCTTCTTAAAACCGTCCCAGCTGATGTGCTTGAAAAGGGAAAGTCTGTAGCTGATTCATATTTTTTTGCTGGTGAGGAAGACGTAGCACCTGAGAGACTGGACCCTGAGCTGAAGCAACTGGAATCTATACTGTAAATACGAAAGCCTCTTTCTTGATCAGGTAAATGTTTTTGTATTGCTCATGAGTTGATGGGCAGAGATGGGGTTGTTCTTTAGTCTCTTAATTGATGCAGGTCATTCAAAGTATGTAATTAGTTTTGTTTTATATCTCTATTGAATAACGTCCAATACACTTAAATTTATTGCAAGAGTTAACTCTGAATTACCCATAAACATGGACGAACGCACATTAACTCATTCGCTGAGTTTAGAAAATCGATTCTATCGGAAGGAAGATAAACATCAGGCAAAAAATGAGATTTACAGACAAGCCTTGTTATGCCACTTGATCCTTTGAAGTGGGAAATTGAACTATGAGATCAATCTTAACATCTTTAGTGCAAGAACGAAATAACGGATTAACATCAATACTCTTAACTGCAACCCAAAAGTCATGTGCATGTATTGACATTTGACAGGACTTTATTGATAGCTTACATGGAAAGCAAGACCAAGATTTGAAAGCTTCTATAATACACACAAGCTAATTGGACATTAAGAGCATGTTTCACATTGTTGTTGGGAGGTCAAAAATATTCTTTTTGAAAAATCAAGCGTTAGGCAGATCTTTAAATCTGTTTTTAAATGAAAGCAAAAGTAGTTTTTCTGCGGTTAGAAGAAGCTAAAAATATCTACTTCTTAAAAAAAGCAAAATAAGAAGTGGAAGTTTTTTTTCAAGACTAAAATAAGCCTTCCATATATATATATATATATATATATATATATATATATATATATATATATATATATATATATATATATTTATCAATGTCTCTTATTAATTATTAATTAATTAACATATCTCATAAGTTTGGTTAAGTTTCATTCAAGAATTTTATATTTTATTTTTATATAATAATTTTTTTTATTTTATGTTTATATATTATTATTTTATATTTTATATATTACTCCTATTACTTTACAGAATTAGAAATAGAGGTAACAACATTTTTATAGGATCAAAAATACGAAGGAAATTATTTATTTTTTCGTAGTAGTGATTTAATTTATGGAATGATTTTTAAATTTATTTTTCTTGATATTTTTAATTATATTTAAATTTTTATGTTAATATTATATTAGTAATATTTTTTTTATTTATGTATGTATGTATATTGATTGAAAATTTAAATATGTTCATTTTAATTTAACTAAACATTTTGTAAAAAGAAATTTAAAATAGTTTCTCTATAAAATAATTTTAATATTAAAAGTACATTGATACTTGTCCTTTTTTGTAATTTGAATGTCAAAATATTTTATAAAAAAGATTAGTCAAATATAATTTGCTTATTAAAAGCATTTTTCAAATGAATTAGTCAAACGCACATTATTATTTTTTTTCGTAACACATTTTTCTAAAAAGCTATTTTAAAAAAAAGTGCTTCTAGAAATAACCACAGCCAAACAAACTTTTCTAATTAATATGTTGCAAGTGAAATAAAATAATTTATAATTCATGATATCTAAATAATGAACATGCTTCGATACGAACAATTATCATGCTTTTATAAAGTAATTGTATTAAACATGGTGAGAATGCAAATTGAGATTTCGTAAATCATATTTATTAGTATGTTAACAAGTTTATAAAGCTAAAAGCATTAAAAATGGTTATTGCAAAATAGACACATTGAAAATTATCTAACTTACATATTTAATAGTAGGTTTCAGTTCGACAATACACGTTAAAATAATTTCAGTTCGATGATACACGTTAAAATAATATCTGAATACTAAATTTTAGGCATACCAAAGGTTATGACTGGCAAACTTTCTTTACAATGAAATTTGTAAATATAGTCGATTAACTCAACAATTATAATTTATATAAGCATGGTTTCTAATATAAACAAATACAACTTTGAAACAATAAATGAACCCAAATTGCACATAAGCCCCTCCCATTTAAACAATCTAAATTATTTTTATTTAGAGAGAGTTAATACAAATGATTACAAATCATAAAATCATATATATATATATATGAGAACTCTAGGCCCGCCTACGTGGCGTCACCACAAATCAGGATTCCCTTTTAATTTATTTATTTCCAAAATTAGTCTTCCCCTTTCATGAAAAGTTGTGGTTTTTATGGAAAATTGTGACTTTTATGAAGAGTTGCGACTTTTATGAAGAATTGCGACTTTTATGAAAAGTTGTGACTTTTATGAAAGGTTGTGACCTTTCCGAAGGGTTGTAACTTTTCCAAAGAGTGGTGACATTTCTGGTAAGGCACTATAAACATTTATTCACACTACCCTTTGTTGTCTATAAATAGAGGGATTTCCTCTCATTTTAAAACAATGAAAATTTTGAAATTCTTTTCCTTCTGCACAATTAAATATTCGTGTACTTCGCTCCTATTGAGTGACTCACTACACCATTGTTTTTGTACCAATACACTGGTGAATATAATCGTTCTATCCTGAGATGATCTATTCCTTTAAACCTCGGGTATTAGAGGAGAATAATTTCCTGAAGGGGACACTATGCATTCAGTGAGCTCGATTTTTTCCTTTCTGTTTCATCCTATTGTTACAGATCCTGGTATAGTTTTTTGGGGACATTAATTTATGATTATGTTATTAATTGATGTTTTTGAGTACATGTTTTAAACTTTGTTGTTTATGTTTCTGCAAAGCTATTGTTATAAGTATTTGTTAGTACAGATTACATAACACATGTCAATTAAGTATCCACGCAAGTTTTTTCTACTGAAATTGTTGAAGGTACAATAAAAAAATTACTACCATCTCTTGAAGACAAAATTCTAATTTGGTATGCCATTGTAAGGACATAAAGGCCTTAAAAAATTTATCGCACCTTGATGTGCGAAGTGAACCAGGAAAAGAAGACAAAAATTAATAAACTTTTGACATGGATTTAAGGATGTACCAGATGACCTATAGAGGAATATGACTAGATTTGAGCCTCTTTTAATCCCAAAGACATAGATAACTACACAATAAATTAATTGCTCATATTCAATATGAAGTATGGACAGATTCTGAAGTTTACTGCAAGTTGTAAATACTTTTCTTGATGTAATAGATGTGTTTCTCGACACTATGATTGGAATAGAAGTGTAGTTTCAAATTGAACTTCATTACTGTGGTATGTTAATTTATAAAAAACACTCAAACAAACTAAATAGTTTTGTGTAATATTTTTCCCTTTCAGTATATATAATAAGTTGAATTGTTGTCCAATATGATACATTCTCCCTTTAATTTTTCATTTAAATAATTACTTATGATACATTTCAATGAGGAACTTTAAAATGATATATGTAAAGCAAAAGGTAGGGCTGAACTTTCTACACGTTAGAATTAGAATATTTGTTCACTTTTTTCAGCCTTTTAAAATTTATTTATCCCTTCACCAACGATTGTTTATTTATTAGAATATTTAATATCTCCGGTTGATGTTCATTTGATTCCACAAAAATATCAAATAGTAACACCTCCCGGAAGGAAAATGATAAATTATAAAATTAAATTAAAGATGATTGGTTGAAGGATAAATAATAAGATGTTATAATTAACATATTCCTTTACATTATTAATGTTTATTACTATGTAATCTTGTATGTAAGATAATATAGTATTTAAGTTTTAATAACTGATAAATTTTAAGTATTATTTTATAAATTTCGTGATATTAAATATCCGCACAAAGCGCAGATAACTTTACTAGTGAAATAATAATACACAAGATTATTAAAACTCCTAGATAAGACTAATCACGTACAAAAAGCCCTCATCCCTTGCGAACTCTTCTCACCTTTGAATTTTGATTTTAAGTTCAATCCCTGCCAAACATAGAAGAAACACAAAAATTAACACTATGCAAGAATACAAAACATATACTCCTTCTGTTTTTAATTACTTGTTCAATTTTTCTTTTTTACTTGTTCATTTTGACAAATTGAGAAAAGATAAATTTTGCTTACCTGTTATACCTTCAATGAATTACTTTGAAAAAGGTATAACTTCTTCAAAATCTTAAATTTTTAATTCATCCTTTCATAATTAATATGGGTAAAATGATAAACTCACTATGTCAATCACTATTTTCTTAATAGGTGTGTCAATTCAAAAGTGAGCAAGTAATTAGGGACAGAGGGGGGTATTTATTACTCCCTTTGTCGACTTTTATTTGTCATGTTGCGCTTTTTGAAAGTCAAATTTGACTAATTTGCAAAGTTGAATCAGATTACATTAATTCGATATTTCAAACAAAAATATAGATATTCAAAAACTATATGAAAAATACAATATGATGAAAAAATAAATCGTAAAATATTAGTCAAAATTTTTATAGTTTGACTCTAAAAATGAAACTATGACAATTAAAAGTGGACGGAGGTAGTAATGTAATTACGGTATCTATTGGCAAACAAACAAAGCATACTAATTACTCCCTTTGTCCCTAATTACTTGTCCACTTTTCTTTTTTTAATTGTCTCTAATTACTTGTCCATTTTGACAAATCAAGAAAGGACAATTTTTTTTACCTATTATACCCTCAATTAATTACTTTGAAAAATGTAGAACTTCTTCAAAATCTTAATTTTTTAATTCACTCCTTCATAATTAATAGGGGTAAAATGGTAAACTTACTATGTCAATAATTATTTTTTTAATATGTGTATCAATTAAAAATGGACAAATAATTGGGAACGGAAGGAGAATCAATCAAAATTTGGCAACATCAATCAAAGCAAACAAATAGAACACATTCGGAAAGAAAAAAACATACTACACAGAAAGTTATAGGGACTGACATGATGTATGCTTCCTTTAAACAAATAGAGATATAAAAATTACATCGTATGTAAGAAATAAAACTACTATGATGAATAATACTAACCCGTTAAGCAGCAAATAAAAATTAAAGAGTGATGCCCCAAGTTCAAAAATCAGTAGTAAAACAAAATAGCCAAGAATACAGAAAAGTAAAACTTGAGAGTCGTAATCAAAAGTGTTATAAGTACTTTAATTTAAAATGTTGATAATTACATGGTGTAATTATGGATATGTTTGGTATGAAGGGGAAAATTTTCGGAAAATGTTATCCAATTTTCTCATATTTGGTTGGCTTAAATGTTTTTCTGATAAACTTATTTTTC